TTATATGGATAACTTTTAAGGCGATTGAGTCCCTTAAAATTCTATGGTCCTATTATCAAGCACCTAAAATATAAAATTACCAAATGAAGCAAATTATAAGAATTTACAAAAGAATATCATGAGACAAAGAAAATGGGTTGGACTACAATTTGAAATTAGGAAAGAAGTGCTCATAGACTAGTATAGGGGATTCTATTCGGTGAAAATTAAATGTTATATGTTATACCATTCTCTTTTTAGTGCTCATTTTTTGTCTATTTTAAATTTTGAGAAGGTACGAACACTTACTTTTTGAAGGATCGGAATCCAGATGCAAGGGTTGCACATAACTGATTTAATTTTAATTCAAGAGCATAAATGAGAGACGACATAAGCTAATTAAAAAAGATCAATTAAGTATTTGTCATATTTTTATTGGGCTAATTGTTCAACAACAAATAATTATATGATCATAAATGTGGACTTGATTTCTATTACATATGTAAATGAGTATTAAGTTATTCATCAAATGTATATGTTCTTTTACAGTTGTAATGTAGATGTAATGGTTGCATAAAGTTGATTTAAGTTCTTAATGCAAAAAAAATGTTGATTTAAGTTCTTATATGCTTCTTGAGTTTCCAAATCTCCACAAAAAAAAACTTGTCAACTTATACCAAATCTTTTAATATACATGCTATGTAAAAGGAAGACGGTATGTCTAAATATGTGTTTAAGTTAACACTTATTGTGTCGGAATATTCGCGGCGGTAGAGAGATAAAGAGTTTGATGTCTTGGATTTTATATAAAGATACAACATGTACACAAATAAGAGTCGAGTGTAAGAATTATAAGAGAATCCATTATTTTTACATATAAAACACAGGAAAGAGAAAAACCATAGGGCCTAGTCTAATTAAAATGATATCATTAGTGTTTGTCATCTGTTGCAAATAATGACTTTCATCGGGGGAGCCGGGGAGGCATTAATTCAATGTAGTAAATATACAATTTATATAACATATTACACATTTGAAGTTGGAAGGACCCTGTGTCATAGGAGCTATTTTTAAGAGATCATTTGATTTTTTATTTGGTAATTTTCCTTTAAGAAAAGGTGGTCAGAGGCCTCAAAGTCCAACATAAATCTCAATGCTAACATTGGGAGTAAGAGTTTGTGTCAATGACATGTATTGATCTTATAAACGACCACATGAGTTGACATCATTCACAATGGTAGATGATGAAGTCAATAGGCAATAGTGGTTGGAGGTTTGTAGTTACACAACGGTGGTCGCAGGAGCGTTATCAGACGATGGTGGTCAACGGATCATAGTAGGCCGACAATTGGTTTGATGACTGTAGTCTAATGATGGAGGTCGGAGAACTGTAGATGGGTGACGATGGTTGGAGGTTCATAGTTGGTTAAAAAACTATAGTCGAGCGATAGTGGTTATCTCATTTCATTAGTTCCCAACATAGAAAAATCTTGCATGTTCACTATGCAAATAACCCTATTTTTTTTCCAATGGAAGGATACTCTTCTTATATTGAGATTTACTTGTAATAGTACTCTTACTCAAAATATGTATTTTTTAAGCCCAATATATCTAATTTTGCCCTCATTTTTTTCTTAGCCTCTTAATTTTACATAAACATAATAATAGACAAGCCACATTTGTTCATACGTTATAGATCAAAAATCTCCCGAATTGCAACCTGTTCATGAACTCTGATTGATTTGAATATCTTGTTTGAAAAAAATGTGACATAGAGAATTTCATATAAAAATATGGAGCACACAAGGACTGTAACTATTATAACCTTTCTATCACATATTTTCTACTATCTTTTTTATTGTGTTATCAACCATATATCATTTCAAGAAGGACATTTAGCCATAATTTAGCACTTATCCTTCTTACGTTCTATTAGGTGTATATAACTCTCTTAATTTGATTGGTGAAATCTTGATTTTGAATCTTTGAACAATGCTAAATGGGATGAGATTTTTGTTCGAAATGGTACTATGAGTGAAAGGATGGGCTGAAGAAAAAAAAAATTTAATGTCAAAATTTAAGCAATATACTTACTTATTTATCCATTATCATTTTTACAAAATAATATATATATGTTATTGAACCTTCACCCATTAATAATAATATTTTTTTATTTTTATTATCATTCTCATATGATAATGATTGGTTGGGTTCAAATTCTAAAGCCTCAAAACAGGTGGCTTCATGTATTTTAGAAGTCAAGGCTTTGAATTCGAATCTGATGTCATCAAATCTATTTTGTTACTCAACATTCAAATTAAAATAATAATAATAATAATAATATGTTGCTTCACTTATGTCATAATTAAATTATTCATTACTATTTTTAGGGTTGTTAGAGAGTTGAGTTTTAAGTGAGCTTCCTATGTGTTCATGTTAGTCTTGTTCAGGTTTTTGTATGTTTAAAATTAGGTTGTGCTTCAAATTATTTGCGAAAATTATGTTCGTGTTTTACTCTTTTGAATGTGAGTTCTGCACAAATTAATTTTAAACAAATATAAAAATAAATATAATGAGTCAAATATATTAAAATCATTCTTCTTATCTACTAATCTAGTAATTTGAATACACTTCTTTGATAGCCTTCATTTCAAAATATAATAATAATTTTCTCACATTTCTTATTTTCGCAGTTGGTTATTTACTTCAACAACTGACGCTTCTTCTATGGCCTACATGAAACAGTATCTTCACAAGTTAGTTCTTGCTTAAAAGGAAAATAAAATATTTGACATGTATTATGTATTTCTTAGAAGATGATATTCAACAAAGGTGGGTGAGATATTTTACTCAACTTTTTAATGAAGAATGTGCAAATACGATTGGCTTTAGTGAACCTAGCACCCTAAATGAAAAATAAATATTTTTGTTTTTATCGACATACTAGTAAAACCGAAGTTAAAGATGTTTTAAAGATAATGAAAGGTGGAAAAGCTGTTGGACCTGATGATATTCCAATAGAGGTGTAAAAATGCTTAGGAAATTAAGGAGTTTCTTGGCTTACTGAACTTTTTAATATTATTTTGAAGACTAAAAAAATGCAAATTAGTGGAGAATGAGTGTGTTAATTCCTATTTTTAAAAATAAGGGTGATGCACAAGATTGTGCCAATTATAGATGAATTAAGTTAATGTGTATACTTTAAAACTATGGGAGCGAGCTATGGAGCGTAGGTTGCGCCGTGATACTAATGTTTCTCAAAATCAATTTGAATTCATGCCGGGTAGGTCTACTATGTAAGTCATACATTTATTGAGAGATTTGATGGAGAAATATAGAGAGAATAAGGAGGATCTACATATGATACTTATTGATTTAGAAAAAGAATATGATAAAGTTCCAATAGAAGTGCTATGGAGAGTCTTGAAAAGAAAGAAGTTAATAACGCTTATATTCAAATCATTAAAGATATGTACGCAGGAGTTATTACTTGTGTATAAACAAAAGGTGGTTTGACCAAGTATTTTCCTATTTTGATTGGTTTACATCAAGGATCAGCCTTAAGCCCATATCTTTTTTCTTTAGTCATGGATGTGCTCACTAGACATTTGCATGAGGATGTACCTTGATGTATGCTTTTTGCTGATGATATTCTTCTTGTTGATAAGACTAGAGAGGGAGTTGAAGGTAAACTTGAATTATGGAGGTCAACCTTAGAGTCTAAAGGTTTTCGCTTGAGTAAATCTAAAACAGAATATATGGAGTGTAATTTTAGTAGTAATAGACCTAGTGAGGGGATTGTGACTTTGGGCGATCAAGTCATTAATAAGAGTACGCGTTTTCAATATCTTGGATCTATTATTCAGAGTAATGGTGATATAGATGGGGATATTATGAGCAGAATTCAAGTTGGATGGTTGAAGTGGAGGAATGCATCGGGTCTGTTGTGTGATAGAAAAGTCCCTCTCAAACTTAAAAGAAAAATTATCTAAGATGGTCGTGAGACCTGCAATGCTTTATGGTGCTGAATGTTGTCCATTAAAAGAGAATCTTAATACTAAGTTAAGTGTTGTAGAGATGAGGATGCTCAGGTGGAAGAGTGGCTTTACCCTTAGAGATAGGATACAAAATGAGCATATACGAGAAAAGGTTGGAGTAGCTCCTGTGGAAGATAAGATTAGAGAGAGTCACCTTAGATGGTTTGGTCACATAAAACGACAACCTTTCGATGACTCGGTTAGGAAAGTAGATATATTAGATTTGACTTATGTTACGAAAGGTAGAGGTAGACCTAAAAAGACTTGGGTATAAAATATTAGAAATAGTTTTTCTTTATTAGATTTAAACGAGAACTTGACTTTAAAGTTTAAACAAGACACAATGGAGACAAAGGATTCATATAGCCAACCCCACGTAGTGGGACAAAGGTTTGATGTTGTTGTTGTTGTTGTATGTATGTATTTTTTATTGTATAATAAGATAACTCTCATAGGTAATAATTTTTTAACACCCACGTGTGTATATTATAGATATTAAAGGGTTAAGAGATGTATTGAAGTTGGACATTAATTTATCTCAAGCCAAAATTTCAAAAGGTTAGAATAGAGATTAAGGTTTCATTTGAGACAACTTTTTTGTTGCATTCTGCAGTAGCTTTTTGCAATCGATATTTACTAATCCTCATTGCAGAAAATGCTCTCACCACTGTATCAGTAGCAACTTGGAAAGTTAATGTTAAAGTAATAAGTCTGTAAAGCAGAGAATACACACCACCCTTTTTGACCCTAACAATTTGCTTTGCAAAATCAACAATACTGCTTAGAGAGGAGAACCCATCACTCATACGCATATCAATAATATAAGTTAATAACTTATTTTTAATAGCCACAAGCTCAACTATAGAAAAATCATTTTGATATAACTCTACTAGACATATCAATTTCCTTTGATCATAAGCAAAGAAGAAATCATTTGAGTTTAAGCATATCACACAAAGAAGTAACTCATTACTAAATTCCGACTTGTATTTGTATGTTCTTGAGGTTTGAATAGATAACAGTACAAACAAAATGCAGGATATTTGTGTACACTATACTCCAACCAGCTATTCTTCAAACAATTTAGAATTAAATCTCCGAGCAACATCTTATTATTGTTTGGTGAAAATTATGATTTACTGGTTGATAAGATCCCTTCAGCAAATATGCTCGTTGAACTCTGTCTCTTTTATTTACATCATAACTCCAGATTGAAGGTCGAAACGCAGGGTCCATAGGAAGATTATTAATATGAATCTCAACACGTTCCTTCCATTTCAAATACCGATCCATCTATTGTTAGCTAAACATAGTAAAAATTAAATTAATGTATTGAAAGCTAAACAGAATAAATGTTAAGCATAAGCTACACATAAGTGCTAAATTATATCAAAATGTACTTAAAAATTATTGAATTTATCTTAAAATTAGTGAAGTGATATGATATAATTTTGTTTTGTACATATCATATTTTAGTTGAATTTATTTGGAACATTCCCTTATAAAAAGTATCTGTTTTCTTATATAAAAAGCCAATGACTTACTCTTGTCTTTGTCCTGCCTATTATATTCCTTCAGCTACTTAACGCGAAGATCTAGCTACAAGTAGAATAATGTGTTCATCTACGTTCTTCGCCTTGAATAGTTGGTCATCTACAATACCCCAAAGCAGATTTCTCAAGAAGAAAAAAGTTAGTTGTTTGAAGTCAAGAGTGAGGTCAGGGAATTGGAGAAGAGAAAGGTGAGGCTCATGTGTTCACTGAAGTAATTCCTCATAGTTGTTTGAATTTTCATTAACTAATAAGATAGTTCATCCTTCAGGTTGAAGAAAAGAAACCATAGCTGATAGCTGTGAAGAACATAAAGGAGAAGATATGAAGATAGTGAACATCAGGCTTTATTTGAAGAATAATTGTATCATGGAGGAGTACAAGAGGCTTAGAGAGATAGCACACTTCCCAAGTCAAGAGAACCAAGTACTCAAGTCTAATATCCAAGACATGAAAAAATCCAACATCTGCACTCTCCAAATCTAATATATATATGCCTGTTTCTGATTTCTGGTTTCTCTGCTTGAGTTCTTGTTTTCTCTTAAAGCATTACTAACTTAGGTACTGCTTCCTATTATGCACTGTTATACCAGATCGGAAAATTTTACCGGGCAGATGTATTTGTAATATATGTTACTCGAATGTTTTGAAGTTTCTAAGCATTTTTCTTTCTTTAATGGTTATGGTTCTGTTGAATTGGACTATAGCAGACTGACCAAATTCTAGTTCATTAATTTATTGTAAGAAAGCAAATTATGATCACATAAATGGAATTGAAAAGATAACAGCTTAGCTTGTGCAGAAATATTTTAATTTTGTTTGATCACAAAAATGGATTTAAACCCTAAACTAATTTGTATGTGTGCTGCCATGCTCATTAAAAAAAAGCATTGTTGCGTCCTGGAATATTTGTGACAATTGAGAAATATAAAATTTAATGTCTTAGCTTTGTACGAAGATTCAGCACACAATCAAATAAAAGAGGTGTAGCGTTCATAAGAGACCAAAGTTTTACATGGAAATCCCTGAAAAGGGGAAAAAATCACAGGGCCTAGCCCAGTTTCAATGAATCCACTAGTATTTGCAGTCAATTACAAATGAGGTCCTTCCTTGAGGGGAAGGCCTTGGTTTGATGTATCAAATATACATCATATAGAGTGCATTTCATGGTGGGAATTGGAAGAATCAGTTTTGATATGTTCATTTAGTCGGTGGCCGAAGGAGGTCCGAAATACCGTAGTCGTGTGACGGTGGTCGGAAGGACCGTAGTCGGCGGGCAACGGAGGTCAAAAAGACTGTTGTCATGCGATGGAGGTCGGAAGGACCATAATCAGCATTCAATAAAGGTCAAAAAGGTTGTATTCTGGCAACAGATGTCGGAAGGACAGTAGTCGGCGGGCGACAAAGATCGGAAAGACCGTTGTCTGATGACGGAGGTCAGAAGGACCGTAGTCAGCGGGTGACAGTGATCAGAAAGACCGTTGTCTAGCGATGGAGGTCCGAAGGACCATAATCAGCGAGCGACATTGGTTAAAAAGATTGTTGTCTGACGACGGAGGTCAAAAGGATCGTAGTTGGAGGCAACGAAGGTCGAAAAGACCATATTTAGGGGGCGACGGAGGTAGGAGGGAGATCAAGGGTATGTTGGAAGTGATTTGAATGGACGGTCGATATAGACTCCTTTGATCATGGATCATTTATCGAGTAATTGAGTTTCTTAATGATGTCCTAATTCAATGATCTTAAGCTCGTTGGATTTGTCTCATCGAGCCGCTCGACTCGACTATAAGCACGTAACGTTTGGAAACTATTTAGTCATCCAATTTGTAGTTTGAACCTTCCAAATGTGCTTCGGGTCTTCAATTTGGTCCCATTTGGGCTCGGATTGAGTCGAACTTGGTGTCATTGAATTGGTCTTTTTGAGACGTTCAGTTCGACTATAAGTTTGCTTAAATCGGAGTTCCGATGGTCTTAGATTTAATTTTGGAAACTTCCAACTCAATTTTGGCTCGAGTTCCGTGCCCGATCAAGATAAATTTTTGATAATATATCAAGCATATATGATTAGGAGTGGACGGTCCATTATAAATTCCATAAATCTAAGGAAACATGAAGACGAAGTTAACCAGAATACTAACAGAATAAATAGAGGCGTCCTTCAAAGATCCGAAGCAATTTCCTATAGCAGAATAAATCCGAAATATTAACAGAATGTTAACAGAATAAATCCACATTCTCTTTTGTTCATCTTTTAGAAACCATGATGCAATTTCCTATAGCAATTCATCCGAAGCAAGAAAAAAAAAAAAAAAAAAAGAGAGCTTACTTGGAAGAAGGTAAGGTAAGAAGAAGATGAGTTTTCGACCTTCGACGGTTCGACCTTCGAGCTTCAAACGCAGAGGAGCCAGGAGCAAACGAAGCGAAACCCTGGGCTCGCCATTTACCGATTGCGTGAACATTGGTCGGTGGGTGCAAACAAATAAAATGAGAAGGTTAAATTACCAAATAACTCCTGTGTATTTTAATTTTTTTTAGGGATAATTGCCCCTAAGTGGTGAACAGCTCCGCCCCTCTTATATATATAATTTAAAACTTGTGACACCTAGTGATATATAAAATTAAGTTTTGTGATGCAAACTTAGGCTCCATTTGGCGTTGTTGACATTTCTAAGTTGTTTGCCATAGTGTTTTTAATAATCATCTGAAATGTACCAATAGAAAAAAAATCAAAATGATCTTGATTAATAATTGCTAACAGTTTAAATCTGATTAAATTTATTTTTTGATGAGCCATATATCATAATTATTTCAATGTTTAACGATTATAAGCCCGCTCCTAACCAAATATCCTTACCTGTATTACATCAGTACAATTATGATAAAGCCTAGATTTGTTGGAAAATAATTAAATCTGTCAAAAAACACTCTTTGTTCACGAATAACTATCATTCGCCTCGCTAAAACATTTATATTATATTCATTTGTTTAATAAGCGATTTGTATTGCTCAGTTCCCCCCTTACCGATGGGCTAAAGATTCGATAGCTTTTTTACTTGGCACTCATACGTGTGTGTATATATATTAAAATGATGATGGATAAATTAATAAGCATATTGTTTAAATTTTGACATTAAAAAAATAACATTTTCCTTCAACCCATCCATTCTCTCATAGTATCATTTTGAACAAAAGTCTCATCACATCCAGCATTGTTAAAAGATTCAAAATTATGATTTTACCAACCAAATCAAGAGAGTTTTATACACCTAACAGAATATAAGAAGTATATGTGCTACAGTATAGCTATTCCATTTTGCTTTTATCCTTCTTTGAATGATATATGGTTGACAACACAATAAAAAGAGAGCAAAAAATAGATGATAAAAAGGTTATAATAGTTACAGCATTTGTGTGCACTGCATTTCCACAAGGAAATCTCCATGTCACATTGTTTCCAGACAAGACACCGAAATCAATCAGAGTCCAAGAACAAGCTGTAGTTCGAGTGATTTTTGGTTTGCAACGTATGAACAAATGTGGTTTGCATATTGTTATGTTTATGTAACCACTTGAATTAAGAGGCTGAGGAAAAAAAAATGAGAGCAAAGTTAGATATATGGGGCATCAAAAAGATATATTTTAAGTAAGAGTATTATTGCAAGTAAATGTTAGTATAACAAAATATATCAATTTTTCTCATCATATAAAACCAATACTCCATGCATGATTTTATTAAATTTCTTAACAATATAAGAATAATTTTAATATAAATTCCAAACTCACCGGGTATCTAGAATGAAGAGGCAGTTGAACAACAATTTTTTGGGCGTCACTCTTGATATTAATGTGAATCTCTACTACAGATATATTGGAAAGAGCAGAAGGCAATTCCAGATTTGTGTCACCAAAAACAGAAGCACTAAGAAACACTGTAAAAATTAAAAAAAAAAAAAAAGTTAACATTTACACAATATGAAATGCTTCAAGATTACAAAATAAGCTTCTAACCTTCACGACCGACAAGATGTTGCAGTTCAAAGGGATCAGAAAAGACCCCAGTAGGAAGATACTCAATAACAATTGCCTCACAAAAATGCTTATTAAAAAAATGAGCAAACTTTGGATGATGGTAAAATTCCATTGTAGTAACTAATTGTCTATGTGAACCTTCACCCATGAGCTCACGTAAGAGAGATGAAAGTCTAAAAATATCTGCATTTTCAAGCATCTCTTCACACAAATCGCCTGAGCAACTTTCTTTATCTAAAATTTTACTAAAATCTGGTTCAGATAGTCGTCCATGGCTATTAAAGAAAGACCTCATCAGATTATCTTGTGAACAAGTGCGACAACCATTGATATTTGGATAGCTATATTTCTGTCAATACAGAGCCAACAGAGTATGAAATTTGAGAATGAAAAGACAAATCAACAATCTAAACACAAGATTGCACCAAACATAATATTTTTAATAGTTAAATAAATTGTCAAAGTTGTCCTTTTCTAATAATCAAGTAAAAAAATGTGAGAACAATAGCTATAGCTTATAGGTGAATGGAGAAGATATATTATCAAAATGCAATTCTCAAATCACAAATTCCAAACCTATTTTCAAATATAAAACAAAACAAGATGCATAATTCAGAACAACAAAAGTAATTGTAACTTGATGAGTTACTCCAAAAAGAAACTCAATTCTTTATTCTATGAAAACTCATGATTCCGCTCATACACGGCTTAGAGAGAAGTGGTAAATTTGTTAGTCTTTGTAGAATCTGATTGTGTCGATCAATCGGGTTTATGTTGTTGCCTTGAACCACAACATTTGTCGTGCTCCAGAGGGAGAAACCCCCGCACCCCCCAACGAGCACGACAAATGTTGAGGCCCAAGGCAACAGCACAAATCCAATTGATCGACATAATCAAATTCCACAAAAACTATATATATATATATATATATATATATATATAATCTTGAGTTTAAATGATAAATATATAGGTTGATTAACTCACCGTGAACTCATTGACTTGTATGGAGCTGGCAATAGGATCAGAAAGCCCAGCAGATTTGTAGATCTCCAGGACAAAAGCAACACAAGAAATTGATTTCCCATCTGAATAAATCCAACATCCTAAATAATCTGAAAAAGACAGACTAATGTAGCTTAAAATTAAGCTAAGCGAAGATATGCCAAAATAGATGTCGAGAGGTTTAGCACTTGAGCAGACGGACAAATGTAAGTTGAGGTAAATTTAAAAAACAGCTTGGTTGCATTTTTTTGTTTAATTTATTTTCTCAACTTATCTTGGCATATTAATAATCCCTACACATGAGTTAATTTAGACATTTAGTCATAGAGGACGGTAGCTCAAACAGGGCAATTAGGGGAAGCAGAGAGCACAGCTACTGACTAGGGTAATCACGAGCAGCAGAGGCTAACAATTAAGCTAATCACCGGAGAAGTGAAGAGTAGTGACCAAAAAAGAGGTCAATCGCTTGAGAAGCAAATGACATGTGCTATGATAGGAGGAGACACAAAAGGGCTTAAACAAGCTTAAGAGTGTCAAATTGGGTTGTTTGGCTGAGCTCAAAGGACTAGCTTAAGTCAAACTTAAGCCCAAACTAAATGGTTGAAATCTTCAACTTTTAAATTTCCGAACTCAATATAGAACTTGATGCAAATCTGAAAATGGAATGTTGCTACCCAGTCAAGAGGAAAGAAGGTGCATACAAAGAGAGAAAGAAAAAGGTTGGGTATATGCATCAGGAGGCAAGAGCAAGGCAATCACAAATACATAAAACGAGAAAAATTTATACTAGGAGAGTTAAAATATGATCCGACCCACCAACATGACCGAGACTCGACCTGAAAAAACTAATTTCAGGTTGACTTGTTTAATAGACGGGTTGGATTCGGGTTGACCCACAAACCAAATTTTGACTAAAAAATGACCCCATTATTTGTTTTCTTTTGTTTGTTGGCATAATCTCCATATTTTTTTATCAATTTAGCTAAACTGTATATTAAAAAAAATTTAATCAAAATGAGTTATCTAGTCGTGTTTGGGATATTCGAGTTGCCGGTGGGTTGAATTCAAGTCTATCATTTGGACATGTTTATTAAATAGGTCAAAGTCGTGTTGAATAGATTCAAGTCGGATCAATTTTGGGTCAGACCTGAACTCGACTCATTAACCCATTTTGACACCTCTAATATATCATGTGACCCAACTATATTAGAAAATGTAGATCATTAATACAGAGAGTTAGAGAATTCTTTTCAAGATTACAACAAAGTGAATAAAAGATGTAGAAAAGGGAATAAAACTTAGAAAAGAAAGAGAGAGAGAGTAATCGATAGGAAAAAAAAAGAGACAATATAAGAGATAAAAGTATAACATAAGTAGATTTAGAGCATAAATCCTCTAAAAACTTATACTGAAACTCCTTTTAAGCTTGCATGCACGGTGTTAATGAGAGTATAAGGCACGAAAGTCACGGGATAGAGCACGATACCATGGCGGCTTAATGAGAGGATAGAGCACGATACCATGGAGCCTAAAGAAGTTGCGAGTTGGCACAAGCAATAAACAAGGTATACTATATAGATAGGTGTCAAATTCCCAACTAAGGTCATGGATGCTACAAAAAAAAAGTGCTACGATGCTTTGAGATTCATGGAAATGGTAATTGATGTTACAAGAACTAGCAATTAGAGAGAATTTGAGTGTAGTTGAGAGCTCTCAAAAGAGGCCAGAGAGAAAGTGTAATGACCGCTTCTGCGGTAATAAGACTACCTGTAGTAATAATGATATACGATTTTCCTGTTTCTATTGGCTGCTTAATGTTGCCTTTTTTTTTTTTTTGACTTCCTCCTATATGTGATTCTATTAATCTGAAATAACACTTGGTAATGTCAGAGGACATTTAGAATTTTCTCTGTAAGAACTTTATATTCCGTTGTACTAACAATGCTCTTTCTGGTTTAGGTAATCCAGATTGGAATATATATATTGTAACTTTACATATTGATCCTATGACACCTGAACTCTAGAAAATGAATTTAAACTAGAAGTCAATAATGAAACATTTTTATTGTGATTTCTAAATCATTCATGGTTAGGTCCTTGACATTCATACACTTTTTTTTTTCTTTTCATGTCTGTATTTAGGTACTACATTTATACACCACCCAACTTTTCACTATAAAAGTCTGAGGAAAGCTAGACTTTTGAATTTTGATTAATTTGTCATCATCAAGCAGATAAAACGGAAGCAGAATTGTTACATCCTGAAGGAATTGAATCATGATAATTCTTCAGTGCCTTCTAATTTGAAGTTTTTGTATCTATTTTTTCTACATTCATTTATCATCTCATACAATTTCTCATGAAGAACAATCAGTTTATTCATGCCACTTAATGCACAGTTTTCCAATCCAAAATTTTAAATATTCATAATACACCCCAACATTCTCTTTTCATAATTTGGCCAGGTTGCAAATGCTCATAGCTGGACTTTTATGGATATTTATATTTTTGCAACTCCATACCGGGTGACATGAGATTATTACTTATTGTCTCGAGAGCATACCCTTGAGTTTGATGAGTGGGAGGCTAAAGAAGAGTATGAACATGTAAGTTGCCACCACAATCTATAAATTCAAGTCTAGGAGAGAAGGCTTTTGCTTTATTTAGTTGCTCTAATAACATTCTTATTTCATCTTTGTGTATCTTCACTATTTTGTGGTGTTAGGTAAAACATCATGGAGTGTCAATCTTCCTTGTGCAATCAGGGATGTTAGGAACTCTCCGTGTTTTGTGCGATGTTTTCCCTTTGTTTACAAATACATGATGGAGAGAGAACTCAAATGTTGCTTTTCTCAGGAAGCATATGGATGCAATATTCGAGGAACGGCCAAAACCTTGGTTCTCAAACATCAATGTTGATGACAAGGTTGGTTCCATATTAGCACTAGAAATTAACATTTTTCTTGGTTCATAATGCAATGAATTTGCCAATCCCAAATGGTTGGGATGTGGTTAATGATGATAATAATGATAATGATAATGCAGTGGATTCTCTATTGTAATGTATATTCCTAATTGTTTTTGTTATGTTGATTGTCTTTTAATGGCATGCATCGAACTGATAACTTTATTTCAGTTGTTAAATAGTTCAATCTTGAACAATATCTTGCCAACTTTTACAAAGAGTTGTATATTTAAATGGCTATATGTCATTTTAGTGGAAGCTTAGGAGTTGACAATAAGAGGGTTCACACAGCATCACTGAAAAGTTTGAAAAATAGATTATGTTTTCTCTCATCATGTTAATGATATCTAATACAAAGAAAGGTGTGCAATTTGGATTGCATCTTTAGGTAATCAATAGAGCATTTGATAGGACTTCTTCGAAAATATTTTGATATTTTTTGCAGTTGTACTTTTCTATTTATGTTTTGTATATGCATAAATATTTACTATTTTTTTTAGCGATGTCCTCAGGTTTAGTTTGTTTGATCTAATATTGCTCCAAAATCATTCTTCATTTATTCAATATCATAATCGGACATGTTTAATGCATTGTGGTTGTTCATTTGTTTTTAGAAGACTAAATTAATGGCGTCCTTTATTCTTTGCACTTGTGGTATCTATCCTTCAGAACCCTCCCACCACCAGCAACCCGCCTACTTCCGCCTCTCCTATGATGGCAAGCCAAGTGGAGCCCGCATCAGAACCCATCCCCAATCTTAATTTTCCCACTACAGATAATCCTATTGTTGAAACGCTCTCTTCCTCTGATTCCCCCAAGCTCTTGGAAGCTCAGGAAAATATGCAAGCATCCCCGAAAAAATACTTCAACAAGACCCCTCCTTCTTGGCCTCATCAACCTCCCAGCTCCTCCATCTCACCTAATAAATTTGCTATACTTCAACCTGAAGAGCCCCCCGATAGCCTGAATGAACCGGAAATCTCTTCTAGCAGTAATTATCACTTGCTTAGAGGAACCCCTTGAAAAACAGAACAAGCACAAGTCACAACAATCAAAGCCCCCAAGGTCCAAAGGCGCTAAGAAGGCGCAATCATCTTCGAAATCCAAATGACCCTGCCAGCCATAGGTTGCTGGAATGTCCGTGGCTTTAACAGCCCGGATAAGGTTTTTGCGTGTAAAAATCTGGTTGGCATTCACTGTCTTGATATGTTGTGACATTATTCCTGAGAACATTGCTGATTCCCTCTCTAATCATGTCACAGATTTGGAAATTAAAGAAGCAGTTTTTGCTGGAGCGGTTTTTGCTGAGATGGTTACACTTTTGAATTTTACAAATCTTCTTGGGAGATTACTGGATTTATGAATGCCAAGCTGTGAAAAAT